TAAGTGTTTTCAGTCCTGACTGCAGACAGAGGAGGAAGGTGGCTGGGGAGCAAGCACAGCAGCCCCAACAGCAGCCTCCCCGCAGCACAGCACAGCGGAGAAGGACGCGGCGACCATGAGGTAGGCATTCCCTGCGGCGCTGGAAAAGTCTGACCAGTCCTGTTGTGGACGCAAACCCTCAGCGGCCTCCCAACAGGCAGGTGCTCCCAACAGGCAGGTGCTCCCAACAGGCAGGTGCCCCACAAGCTTTGCGTCTGAGTTGGTTCACAGCCTTCCCCAGGCTCCTGTCACTAGGCTGCGGGCTTGTTTACTCCCGAGTCCGTCTTCTGCCTCACACTGTCCCGCTTCCTCAGGGCGACTGGCCCTGGAGAAGCTGAGAGCTGAGTTCCTAAGGGAGGGAGGGAGGCGGAGGGAGAGGACAGAGGGAGGGGGTGCCATCAGCAGGTTCTTCACTAAAACGCGGGCCCGCGATTGCTCCTGGAGACTCCTTTTTGTTTCTTTATTTGAAGAACTACGTGAGGAGTTTTTAATAAGATTCTTATTTAACAAAATAAGAGCAATGTTTAGAGTGTTTGGGCAGTGGTTGTTTTTGTTTGTTTGTTTTTGAGCAGTGTTTAAAAAGCACTCAGGGTAGCAACCCACTTCATGTGAAGGTGGAATTTATTTACTTTTTTATGTTCAAATTCTGTTATGTTTGTTTGTTCTTTCATTGTTGGTACATCATTCATATCCCTTGTGCCCTCTCCCACCTTCCCCCTCCTCTCCAATCACCACACTATTGTCCCTGTCAGTAAGTTCTTTCCCTTTCTGGCTCAATCCCTCTGCAGGCCCATTCCTCCCCCTTCCACTCTCTATTTTGCTTGTTGGTTATTTTGTTCATTAGATCCCACATATGAGTGAAATCATATGGTATTTGTCCTTCTCTGTGTTTACAATTCATCTCAGATCTGCATCAGGACGGACAAAATGCATTCATTCATTCATTCATTCAACAGAAATATAATTTACCCCCAAATTCAACTGATTGGCTAGAGTCGTCCTGTCTGAAGTATAAACTGGAGATGCTCCTCAGAAACAGAAGTTTGCCCTGAGGAGGAAGTACTAGCTTATTGGGTAGGAAGAGAGCTTGCTTTTTTCTCCAGTCTGAGGACGGGGTGACCAGACTGGACGCCCAAGCCTCGTTCCTGGGAGCTCCAGAACCCAGGGACACCGGCCCCAGCATTACTTTGGAGGGCACATTGCCACCCTTCTTGAAGTTTCCTGGTCTCTCTTCTGGAAAGATATTATTTTTCTGTTAGTCTCCATGTTTGCCTGATAGAAAAAAGAAAAGATTTGAGATATTTCCAGATGTGTGTTGCTATAGTAACTCAGCATTGTTTCTACTTCTTAGAATTTCAGCGTGGTCTTCTCATCGAATCTTTCTTATGATCATACAGACCCATCAGTCTCTCTTCTAATTTGATTTTTAGCTATAGGCACCCTCACCAGGCATTGCCCCCACCCCCCGCCCCAGTGCTCTAAGACAGTGGTTCCTGTATTTGAGCACAAATATGAATCACCTGGAGAACTTGTTAAAGAGAGATTCCTGGGCTCAACCCCCAGATTCTGATTGGGTAGAGCTGGGATGAGGGCCAAGGGTGTGCATCGCTAACAGCAGCGGTTCTCAACCTGTGGGTCGAGACCCCTTTGGCGGTCGAAGACCCTTTCACAGGAGTTGCCTAAGACCATCCTGCATATCAGATATTTACATTATGATTCATAACAGTAGCAACATTACAGTTACGAAGTAGCAACGAAAATAATTTTATGGTTGGGCCACAACATGAGGAACTGTATTTAAAGGGCCAGAAGGTTGAGAACCACTGTCTAACAGGGTCTTCCTGGGTGGTGCTGCTCCTGCTCTCACTCACTGCGGGGGCAGCACGCGCTCTGGCCTGGGGAACAGTGTCCCTGTGGATTTCCTCCAGACCTGAAGCAGGGCAAACACATTGTTGGGCTGTAAACAGTTAGGACTCCCAGCGGCATCAGGAGCATACGTCACAAGCATAAGTCCAGGAAGCGGGTATTGGGACCAGCTTCTGATTTGCCGGTGGACAAAATAATCCATAATTATGCAGTGAAATTGACTGCCTTTCGAAGGGCTGCTCACAGGGATTGTATGTAAGTGTGTACATTAACTGTCTCTATCCTGCAAATGCACAACTAACTATGTCTGAGATCATTTCAGCTGTATTCATTCTCTGTGTTTCTGTTATAAAATGAGAAAGGAGCTAAGAAAGCTCATGTGCTTTAGGAAATCTTCCTGTGAGCTCACTGAGAAGGAAGGTAGGTGAGATTGGACATCAGCTTTCCAAGGGGAGGCTGCTGTCATTACAATGCAGACGCCAAGCAAGTCACGCTCCTGGGCTCTGCCCCACCCTCCCGGTTACACAGGAGACTTCAGACAACCTAGCCCTTCGCTAAGACCCGCCTGGGTCTTTGAAAGAACACAGGTTCCTTCCCTGAGAGGAAATCCCTACCCACTTCCCTCCTATATTTTGTTTATTCTACTTGGGGTAGTTAAGTTTCCATTTGTTTCAAGTAACAGAAATGAGCAGGTGCTGATTTAAAGTTCTTGGAATGATTCCCAGGATTCCACACACAGGACCATAGCAACCCCAGGAGGACTAGAACAGGACACTGGGGCGCTTGGGGGACCCAGACCCTGTCCTATCCAAGTGCATCTGAGTCCCTCTCTGCAGTACATAATGCAGAATGCGGTCCCATCAGACCCCCAGCCTGCACAGTTCCCTTCTTAATGTGTGAAAACCGCCTCAGGCTCCCTCGCTCCCTCTCAGTTCCATTCCCAGCTTCCCCTGGCGTCTGGGTACCCAGCCATGGTCCAATCAAATTGTGGGGTGGAAGGGGCTATACAACGTGAAAGCTAGGGGACAGGAGCAAATGAGGGAATATAATCTTTCATTTGGGCAAATATTTCAAAAGTGATCGATCCTTGCCACATTACATGTCTTCCCAGATTGTCTTGGCTGCTCATGTCAGAATCCATACTATTTAGAATATCAGCTCCTGATAAAAAGGCCAGGGAATATATATCATAAAAATTTTTTTAAGTGAGCAAAAGCAACATTTCAGAGACTCCAGTGCCTAGGCAATGTAGAAAAACAATTTGGTGCTATTCGTGAGTTATAATAACCTACTCATCGGCGAAGTTATTTGAGACAGGGTTATTTGTCTGTTTGCTGTTTCTGTTTGGTTGGGTTTGTTCATTTGTTTGCTTGTTTTAAGGACCAACACTAAAGGGAATGAGAAATGTTTCTAGAAGAGTTGCTAGGGCGCCCTAAGTGAAAGAGAGCCTTTCCTGTGAGAGAGGAAGCTGGCTGTTTTGTGAGCCTCCTCTTGTAGCCACACATCTAACAACTTGTCATGAAAGCAACCCACAGAAAAGGAAAAATAAAATTTCAAAAGAAAATTATTAAACAACAAATGCAAAATTATTACTAAATCAACTCAACAAAACATGTTAAGAACAGAAATCAACAACCTAAGAAGTTGGGGGTGGGAGTGATTATATTTATTCCACAATAAAAGTTTAAGACATTGCTAACATATATAATACTAGAGGCCCGGTGCATGAAATTCGTGGGCGGGGGGGGGGGGGGGGGGTGTTGTGTCCCTCAGTATGGCCTGCACTCTCTCCTCCAATCTGGCCCTTGGGGGATGTCCAGAATAGGGCCTAAACCGGCAGTTGGATATAACCTCTCACAATCCAGGACCACTGGCTCCTAACCACTTGCCTACCTGCCTGCCTGATTGCCCCTAACCGTTTCTGCCTGCCAGCCTGATTACCCCCTAATTGCTCCCCTGTAGGCCTGATTGATCGCCCCCAACTGCCCTCCCCTGCAGGCCCAATCACCCACAACTGCCCTCCTCTGCCACGACCTGCCTGAGATGCTGGGACCGACCTCCTCCGAACGGAGCGGCTGCCTCCATCTTGTGGCGGCCATCTTGTGGCTACGTCGGGTGCAAGGACCACCTAGGCTTTTATTAGTATAGATTAATCAGGTTAGGAGGTAAAAAATACAAATGTAGGGGAAATGAGTAAAAATTAAGAATGGTTGAAATTAAGCCTGACCGGCATGGCTCAGTGGATGAACATTGACCTATGAACCAGGAGATCATGGTTCAATTCCCAGTCAAGGCACACGCCTGAGGTGTGGGCTCAATCCTTAGTGTGGGATGTGCAGAAGGAAGCCAATCAATGATTCTCTCTCATCATTGATGTTTCTTTCTCTCCCTCTCCCTTCCTTTCTGAAATCAATAAAAATATATTTTTTTAAAAGAATGGTTGAGCCCTAACCAGTTTGGCTCAGTGGATAGAGCATCTTCTCTCTCATCAATGTTTCTAACTCTCTATCCCTCTCCCTTCCTCTCTGTAAAAAAATCAATAAAATATATTTTAAAAAAATAATAATAAAAATAAAAGAATGGTTGAAATTAAGATTTAAATGGTTAAAATGGAAAATTTTAAAACAAGGCTATAGAATGTCAAAATAATAAAAAGACAAAACCGATTTGATTTTTAAAAGGTTTGGCTAAACAAAGAAACTCAATTAAGTATATATGAAAAGCTCAAATAATTAGGCAGGAAATAGAAAGTAATAGAGATAAAAAAGACAAATTAAGGGGAACTAAGGAATTAAAAGTGTAGATGCTAATATGGCATTGAATCTCAGAGGAGTAGCTAAGATTAAAATCAGGTTGGCAAAATGTTAAAAGAAGACAAAATTATAAAGCTACAGTTCAAAAGTGAATGTATGCCCTAGATGGTTTGGCTCAGTGGATAGAGCATCGGCCTGTGGACTGAAGGGTCCTGTGTTCGATTGTGGTCAAGGGCACATGCCTGGGTTGCAGGCTCAATCCCCAGTGTGAGGCATGCAGGAGGCAGCCGATCAATGATTCTTTCTCTCTCATTATTGATGTTTTTATCTCTCCCTCTCTCTTCCTCACTGAAATCAATAATATATATATTAGATGTCCATAGTACATATTTTTTTTTTTTTTAAGTGAATGCTAGGTAGGAGAAAGAACAGAAACAAACAAACAAAAATCAGTGAACTAGCCTTCCCAGAAAGCACAGAAAGCCTCCACTGGAATCAATTCCACAGCTTTGGCCGCCCCTGCAGAGGCCCCCCAAGAAGAGAGCAGAGGGCTGGCCACCCTAACAAAGCTGCCTTCTTTAGGGAAACCTACCCACTGCTCTTTCCCTAATTCTTCTGTTGCCCAGTCACTTGATTCCTGCTTCCCCGTGCTTGAACGCATATGCCAAAATACAGAAATTAAAAAAAGGAAATGTTTTTTTAAATATATTTTTATTGATTTCAGATAGGAGGGGAAGAGGGGAGAGAGAGAGAGAAACATCAATGATGAGAGAGAATCATTGATCGGCTGCCTCCTGCACACCCCATACTGGGGATCGAGCCCGCAACCCGGGCATGTGCCCTGACCGGGAATCAAACTGTGACCTCCTGGTTCATAAGGCGACGCTCCACCACTGAGCCACAGCGGCCGGGAAATGTTTTTTTTTTATTGGGGTTCACTCCCTTTCGGAGGAGGAGAACTGCGTTTGTCTTGCTCCCTGCTTTGTGCCAGGTGAGTCTGTGCTGTGTCTCACATGTCCATCTCTCTGCTTTTCCCCACAGCGAGGCCACCGAGAACTCCTTGGAGAGCAGCCTACGGCGGCTAAAATGCCACTTCACCTGGAACTTAGGGGGAGAAAATTCCCTGGATGATTTTGAAGACAGAGTGTGTCACCAGACCGAGCTGCAGAACGGCGAGTTCAAAGCTACAGCGTACAACTTGCTGGCCTACATAAAACACCACAGAGGCCTAGGCGAGGAGGCGCTGGAATGCTTGCGGCAAGCTGAAGAGTTAATCCAGCAGCAGCACCCTGACCAAGCAGAAATCCGAAGCCTGGTCACCTGGGGCAACTACGCCTGGGTCTACTATCACATGGGCAGACTCTCAGAAGCTCAAGTCTATGTAGACAAGGTCAGAGAAACGTGCAAGAAGTTTTCCAGCCCCTACAGAATGGAGAGTCCTGAGCTGGACTCTGAAGAAGGGTGGTCGCGGCTGAAGTGTGGGAGAAAGTACACCGAAAGGGCAAAGGCGTGTTTTGAGAAGTGTCTGGAAAAGTGCCCAAACCACCCCGAGTACACCTCGGGACTGGCCATTTGCAGCTACCGTCTGGATGAGTGGTCAGGGCCTAAGAATCCCATCAATGCGCTGAGGCAGGCCATTCGGCTCAATCCTGACAACCAGTATATTAAAGTGCTCCTGGCTCTGAAACTGCAGAAGATGAACGAGGAAGGGGAAGCAGAGAGGTTAGTTGAAGAAGCTGTGGAGAAAGCCCCCTGTGCCATCGATGTGCTTCGCGGGGCAGCAATGCTGTATCGGAAAAAAAATGATGTGGACAAAGCTATCGAACTGCTTAAACGGGCTGTCGAATGCTCGCCAAACAACCCCTACCTGCATTGCCATCTTGGGGTGTGCTATCGGGCAAAAGTCCACGAGTATGAGAGGAGAGGCCTGAGCAGAAGGTATGGGGAGAGAGAGGACTACCAGGAACTGATCAGACACGCTGTGGGTCATCTGAAGAGAGCTGATGAGCTCAACGGAAACCTCTACAATGTTGGCTCCTTTCTTGCCTGCCTCCACCTCCAGGCGGGTCAGTACGAAGAAGCAGAATATTATTTCCAGAGAGAATTCAGCAAAGAGCTCACGGCTGTAGACCGGCAAGTGCTCCATCTCCGATATGGCAACTTTCAGTGGTTTCAAATGAAGTGTGAAAGCAAGGCCATCCACCACTTTCTAGAGGGCGTGAAAATAAACCAGGACCTAAAGGCGACAGGAAAGATGGAATACAAACTGCGAGGTATTGCCAAAACCAGGCTTTCCAGAAATAGAGACGATCCCGAGGCTTTGCGTATCTTGGCGTGTCTTGAGGAGCTGAATGAGAAAAGGCAGCCAGCAGATGAAAACTCTGAGAGGGGTGTGAACTCCGGACGCCTCAGCCCTTTGGCATCTTTCATGGAGGATTGAGGAATCAGGATGTGGTGCCCATAGGGCTACTCCTGGGAGGGAAGCAAAACCCCCTCTCGCAGTTGGTATCAAAATATTTAACTATGAGTATGGCGTAGGCATGGACTAAGAGTGTGGCCACAGTCCTGGATTGGGTCAGGACTGTGAGTTGCTTGAGTTGCTCAGGGAGTTTCAGGAAAGGGACTAAGTTGGGGGCCGGGGGGGGGGGGGGGCGTGTAAGGTCCTGTGGCTTGGTAAAGGGGCCATTTCCCAATTGACATCTGTAACACTGGTCCATTTTTGCAATGCTTTCCCATCACTGGTGTCATTTGAGATCTGTTACAGGAATGTTCTAGGTTCATCCAAAGGCTGGGGGACCAAAGCTTAGATAGGGCTGGGTGTTCTCTCTCTCTCTCTCTCTCTCTCTCTCTCTCTCCTGCCTTCTTTCTCCACTGCCCTAGATTATCCTTAATCTAATTGTCCTACACGACAGCAGTTCAATCGTCCTATTAACTGAGGTGGGACCATAGTTTGAAAAATAGCAGAAAATAAGTCAAATCCAGAAGGGACATATCTCCAAGAAGTAATGGGGTCAGTCAGTCACACTACCGAGGTTCGAGAGGCACATGGGGGAGATTTTGCCTTCACTCTGCTCTCCCTGTAATCGTAATACAACATGTGAAGAATTTTTTTTAAAAAGGATTCTGGCCCTGGTCAGTGTGGTATCGTCCCATGCACTGAAAGTTGCCGTTTGATTCCCCATCAGGACACTTGCCCAGGTTTCCGACTTGATCCCTGCTGGGGGCATGAAAGAGGCAGCCAGTTGATGTTACACTCTCATGTCGATGTTTCTCTCTTTCCCTCTCTGTTCCTCTCCAAATAAATAAACAAACAAACTAACTATTATTTTTAAAAAGGATTCTGTACAGTATGCTAGAAACCAAAATAATACCTTTCTTTAAAAATAAATGTCTCACCCATAGGGATAGGAACAGGGTAGGCAAAAGAGACCAAGAGAGAGGAATGCTGGTTTGTCATTGTAGATTGTAATCATATGGAGAAATTTTCATTTCCTTAGGCACTATTAGGAAAATTTATTTGCTTTGTTTAAAAAAAAAATGCTTTGATGACCCCCAGGTTCAAGATGATAGGAAAGCAGCAGAACAGGGAATTATTTGGTGGCTAAGAAGCTAGTGAAAGGTCTTGGGAAATTACATCAGTAAAGGAAGGGTTTCCCACCACTAGAAATGTAAATTCGGTGATATAAAAGTTCTCTTAACCCTGAAATTTTTTATGAAAACACCCAAATTAATGGTATGTTTGGAGCAATTGGAATTTTCTAGGTAGATACTGAATAGCCTACAAATGTCAAGTTCTGTGTGACCCAAAACACAGTCAGCTGACCGAGCACAAGACCATCAGTTATTCTCCGGGTTGCAAAGTGTTTGTCTGTTGGGGTGGTTATCTGGGGCTGGAAGGAGGGGGCGGGGATACAAGAGATTCTGTTTAAGGGTACAAGCTTGCAACTAGTAGATAAAGAAGTTCTGGAAATCTAATGCACAGGACAGTGAATATAGACAATAATACTGTGTTATAATCATCAACCTTGTTAAGACACTAGATCTTAATTAGTCCCACCACAAAATATGTCAAACAATTGCAATCATATTACCATATAAAAATGTAGCAAGTCAACATGCTGTACACCTTAAACTGACACAATGTTATATATGAAATATGTTTCAATAAAATTAAGTCTATATTAACATGTTCATCAAGCAATTAAAACATTATATGTAAATCAAGGTTCTTTTTCTATTAAAATTTCCAACTACTGTGACAATGGCTTTTGTGTTATTTTCTGTATCAGAAATAATGTTGTGTGCCCTGAGACCATCCGTATGCACAGTATGGATTCCTGCAAAAAAAAAAGTCATAGATTTAATTAATACATAATGTATATGTGATGGAACATAAAGGGGTGTTCTGGTTTTTCTGAAAGTTTGGTGTACCTTACCTCCTCCAACTCAGCTACAGATAAATGAAATGTTACACTGGGTATGAACTGGCTCCAATAACCTAGGCTGGTCTCACATCACAGCCACTGAAAAGAACATTTTTTTCCCCTACAGCTTTCTTAAAAGAGTTCAGGACTTCAGCTTATGCCCTGACACCCACCACCATGCACCCTCATGTACACAAACGCCTGCCTCCACACTGACAGTTGTTATATATGAAATATGTTTCAATAAAATTAAGTCTATATTAACATGTTCATCAAGCAATTAAAACATTATATGTAAATCAAGGTTCTTTTTCTATTAAAATTTCCAACTACTGTGACAATGGCTTTTGTGTTATTTTCTGTATCAGAAATAATGTTGTGTGCCCTGAGACCATCCGTATGCACAGTATGGATTCCTGCAAAAAAAAAAGTCATAGATTTAATTAATACATAATGTATATGTGATGGAACATAAAGGGGTGTTCTGGTTTTTCTGAAAGTTTGGTGTACCTTACCTCCTCCAACTCAGCTACAGATAAATGAAATGTTACACTGGGTATGAACTGGCTCCAATAACCTAGGCTGGTCTCACATCACAGCCACTGAAAAGAACATTTTTTTCCCCTACAGCTTTCTTAAAAGAGTTCAGGACTTCAGCTTATGCCCTGACACCCACCACCATGCACCCTCATGTACACAAACGCCTGCCTCCACACTGACAGTGGGGGGGGGGGGGCGAGAGGGGAGGGCTGCTGTCTTTTTCTCCATTAAATCTTGTTAATATCTGCTTCTATCCACATTCTCTCTCCTTGTCTGACTCCATCATGAGAAATGAGGAGGTGCCCCTGATGCTGTGTTATGCCCCACCTGGAGGCAGTCTCAAAGGCATAATAAGTAAAAAATAGTTTTTCTTGATAAGTAAAGAATACAAAGAAACATGAAGCCCTGAGTCTCTCCTGTTTTTCAAGAGGCCTCTCTGGTGGAAAACATGATTCATACCAGCCGCAAAGGTAAACTCCTTCCATTGGACGGAATTGGACAGGTGTACATCTCAAGGGAAGGTTTAGCTCACTTTGCCTGAGTAACTAATTACTGGATCTGGTGCCTGGGGAAGGAAACTGGGCATGTTCTGTTGACCTGGAGTGAAGACCATTGGCACCTCCAGTGTGCTAAAGAAGGTACACCAGGTGTATGCATGTGCATTGCTCAAGGATGTCATACTACTAGGAACAGAACCCTAAAAGGAATAAGGTGGGACAGGTAGGCAAGAGATATGACATATTACACTTAATATTTACTTGAGGACTTAAAACTAACAGAGACATTTGGAAAACAATGAAGGACATTTTATTTATAACTATGTTTCCTGAAATGTCACTATCCAGGAAACAAATGGAGCCACATTAGTTGGAATGACTTGTAATTCCCTGGCTCTTAACCACATCTCCTGTTGCAAGACATTTAACTCTCCTCATAAGCTCACCCTGGTAAATAACATGCCCCCAAGAGGTGCCTCCTAAGTGTGGATGAACTAGTCTGTCAGAATGAGCTATTGGCATGGTTCCAGCACCCACAGCCCTCAATGTCTTCTCGAAAAAAGGGCTCCAAGACATCTCATCATTCCCTGTATTTGATTGCCACCCGGAGAGCACCGATATCCCTGCCAACGCTGTTCTCCAGTGTAGTCACACCCATGAAGGAATGAGGAGACCCTCTCATCCTTGTCTGGGTTCCAAGTCGCACTAGTTGTTTCTCAGCCACAGAGTCCTCAGTGAAGGGTTTGTCGTGCGTTTCCCGCAGAGCTCAGACACAGCCCGTGGAGGCAGCAGACCTGAGTCATGCTCCACACTCATCTTCCCTCCCACTTCATGTCCATTGGGTAGGGGGACGTATCATCTGATAGATAGAGCACCTGAGTTAATCTAAAAAATAATCACATTATTTTGAAATTCTAAAATACATATATGCATGGGAGCAGAGAGTTAAGTTTCTTATATGGGAACAGAGGGTTATTATTTTTTTTTAATCTAAGTTTCATTTCTCAGGCCAGTGCACCTGCGTACCCACTTTGATCCCGAACAAAGTGATGGAGGAGGTGATTCAGTTGCAGACAATGTACACTGTACCCAGCATGCAAGCAGAACTGTTAAGCATGATCAGGCCGACCCCACCAGGAGCCAAGCCATCATCTCATCGCCTGACAACCAAGAACAATGGTTGACGTCTGCTGACCTTCAGGACTGCATGTAATCGCATTCTGTTCCCAACCTCAGCCCAGTCCATTTTCCCTATATAATCCTGTCCCGGGCACCTTGCTGTAAGGCAGGCTTGGGATGCTTATAAGCACCTTGTCTTCTTGGTTGGCTGGCCTTCTCAATAAGAGCCTTATAAGATTCAACTCTGCCTTCGTTATTGGACATTGCGACAGGCAGCCCGAGCCCACGGGGGGGTTTCCTGGTAACAAACTGACTCGCACAGTCTGTGTCCGGAAGTGAGACAGCATTCGAGTCCTGAAGATAAACACAAACAAGGCTGTGTTAGGATCCCTGCCATCTGCACAATCAACCTTGGATTTCAACCTGGGAAATGTGGGTTCCAACTGGAGACCATAAGCTCCTGTCTCCTCCCTCCCTGCCTCCACCGTTTCCCCATCATTTACTTTGGGGAAAGGTAATTAGTTTGTGGTAGGCAGTTAGACAGGAGCAGAGCAAGAACGATGGGCCAAGTACAGAAGGTCACCAGGGTGGAAAGCCCTGGGTGCCTAGCAAAGGACAATCGTAGGGTGGGACCTTGCCCCCAGGGTGAACTTTCCTCCATTAGTATATCTCTGGTCCTGCAGTTTGAACCCCCTGACCTTTCCTCTCTAGAGATAACATCTAGGATTCAGTCGTATTTCAGCTCCAGGCTCAGATAAGCAACAAAACCAACCACAGATGACCGCAGGACCAGCTGCATTGAATAATAAATACCCTGGTGCCAGCCAACCAATCAGTGGAGAGAGACCACACCCCTGAAAGGACACACCTGGAAAGCTGCTAAATATTCTATTAAGATCTTTCCCTGGGACCGCCCCTAAAGTCTCCACCCTTAAAACCCTTAGGAAGGAGGACTCAGTGCACTCTCCCTCCTGGGAGCCGCCAGGAGGCTCTGGCCTTTTCCCTCTCCCCAAGTCCTCCTCTTCCTAGGTGCATTACCATTACCATCCTCCCTCCCAGGCTCCTAGGGCCCTTCCTTTGCCTCTATAACTTACTTCCTCAGCACACCTCTTCTATGAATGACTTCTTCTATCTCTGTAACTTTCTAAATAAATGTCCTCTTATAGTTGGAGTCTTGGCTCTGAACTCTGTCCTAGCCAGAACCAGGACCGAGGTTTCTGACCCTAGGTCCAGTCTGACCCCATGGGTCTAACACCCAGTGCCGTTCCCACGGCCTACAACAACTTGGTTAGATGAATTAGAAATTTTCCTTATGATTGACAGTGCTATGTGTTATTGCTGGTAATCTACACCTTATTGGGAGGCTGCAAGGGGGTGGATCATTAATGACTAAAATCCTTAATGTAAAATGGTGCAGCAACTTTGGAAAACTGTTTGGCACTTCCTCAAACTGTTAAACAATGCATCACCATACAACCCAGCAATTCCATCCCTAGTTATGTACCCAAGAGAAATGAAAACATATATTCACATAAACCTGTACCTGAACGCTCATAGTAGCATTATTCATAATAGCCAAGAAGTAGATCCATCAACTAAAGAACTGATAGATTAAAAAGGTATATCCTTACAGGGAAATGATATTTGGCAATAAAAATAAATTAAATACTTACTGATACATGCTACAACATAGATGGACTTGAAAACATTATGCTAAGTGAAAGAAGCCAGTCACAAATGGTCACACACTGTATGATTCTTTTTATTTTTATTTTATTTATTTATTTATTTATTTATTTTTAATCCTCACCCAAGGATATTTTTCCATTAATTTTTAGAGAGAGTGGAAGAGAGAGGGAAAGGCAGAGAGAAACATCGATGTGAGAGAAACACATCGATTGGTTGCCTCCTGCATGGGCCCTGACCAGGACTCAGGCCAGGGAGGAGCCTGCAATCAAGATACATGCCCTTGACTGGAATCAAACCCGGGGGACCCTTTGGTCCACAGGTCCTCTATTCACTGAGCTAAACCAGCTAAGGCTGTATGATTCTTTTCTTTTTAAATATATTTTTATTGATTTCAGAGAGGAAGGGAGAGAGAGATAGAAACATCAATGATGAAAGAAACTCATTGATTGGCTGCCTCCTGCATGTCCCCTACTAGGGATCGAGCCCGGAACCCAGGCATGTGCCCTTTTAGACCACAGGCTGACACTCTATCCACTGAGCCAAACGGGCTAGGGCTGTATGAATATTTTTATATGAAATGTCCAGAGTAAGCAAATAGAGCCAGAAAGTAGATTAGTGGTTGCTGAGGACTGGGAGGGATAGTAGGAGTGGAGGTAACAACAAATGGGGTGTGGAGTTTCTTTGGGGTTAATGAGAATATTCTAAAATTGACTGTGCCCTGGCAGGGTAGCCCAGTTGGTTTGAATGTTGTCTCCATGCACCAAGGTTTCTCATTCAATCCCAGGTCAGGTCAATAAAAATTCAACCAATGAATGTATAATGGAACAGCAAATTAATGTTTCTCTCTCTGTTTCCCCCATTCCTCTCTCTCTCAAATCAATAAGCAATCAAAAATAATAAAACTTAAAAATGTATTGTGATAATGGTTGCACAGCTCTGTGAAATGCTAAAACTATTGAATTCTATACTTTAAATGGGTGCGTTGCATGGTATGTGGATTACATTTTAATCAAACTTAAAAATGTGTACTCATTACAAATGTGTACTGTATAAGGAAAGCAATCTTTTCTTCAATCGCCTTCTATTTTTAAGCTCTGGGTTTGCTTGCACTGTCTTGTTCCTATCTAAATTCTTTTAGGGAGTTAAGGGAGAGGTCAAAGCTTTTCTTGAGTTTGCTGGCTTAGTTGTCCTCAGCTTAAAACAGTCCACACGCCAAAGTGGCACATTTTGGGGAGGTTCATTCTAAACCTCTTCAGAAATTTTATAAAAATAAAAAATAGATGTGTCTTAAGGTAGTATTCCTCCTTCAGAGTTCAAGGAATAAATACAGGCATGTAAATTTATCGGCTAACTAGCCAGCCACTACACAATATTATGTGTTACTACTTCCTATTTCACAGCTGGGAAGACCAAACTATTATCTTAGACTACTCAGAGATTTAAACTGCCCCAGATTATCTCCAGGGGTTGGCTTTCTATATTTAGTCTGGGGCAAAACAGATTAGGGCGTGGTGATGTGATTCAGGGCTAACCCAAGTGCTAGTAAACTGAATAAACAGAACTAAATCCAGGTCTCCAAGTGCAAATTGTCTCCCACAGATAAAGTGGACGAAACTACTTTTTAGAAAATATTTCTGGAACAATTTTTCGCATCATGTGGTCCCAGAAAACCCTGGAGTCTGAATCTCCTACAGACTATTCCTGGGACCCACCCCGGGGAATATGAGTGGAATTTAAACAATGTACTTTGAGTCATAGCAGAACTCATCAAACTTGTTTTATTTTCCTCCTCCTGATGTGAAATCACTTTCACTTTCCAGTTCCTCTTCCCTCTCCTAAAGGCAATCTCTTAGAAAGGGGGAGCAAGCCTTTCCCCCACCCCCACTTCCCCTTTAAATAGCTCCTTCGGCATATACTGGCTACAGACAAGGAAGATTTCCCAAGAGCCAATCAGCTTGGACCCACCTTTTGAGACTTGCTGAGAAGCAGTTTGCAGTCATGAGGTCAGTGAGATAACAATGCATAGATACCATTGATCTTGAATGCAAAACAGCGTTTCTCAGGTTCAGACAAGGTCCTGAGTTGTCCTGTTACTTCGGGACTAAACGTGCCTTCATCAGCATGGCACTTTTCATTTCCGGGGCTTTTTCTGGAGTAGGAGCTCAGCTCTCTAAACTTCTAGAACTGTTCCCTGGAACACCTGGTGGAGCTGGGAGCTGGGTGAGGGAGTTTGGGCAGGAATGGTTAGATCCACTCAGGCACAAAGTTTGCTGATTCAGTGGCAGAACTAAGGAATCCCTCTTTATGGGGTTTTCTTGTTGTTCTTTGAAGGTCCTTTCTTTGAAGGACCCAAGGCCTTCTTCTTGTCATATTCTTTTCAGCAGACATTATTCAAGATGGAATTGGAAGTCCAAACCCAACTCACATTGAGAGGAATTGAGCCCTGAAAGTTTGATCACTTCAAGGTGGGAATTCTTACAGATGGGCATTTATTTTTTCCATTTCCTATATGAAAACAAACCAAAGGCTTAGAGTTGATTTTTATCGCTGTGATGAGAGCTGGAAATCATTTCTCTTCAAAACGTAATGGCCTAATCTCTTGTCTAATACTGATCTAATTTCTAGTGGTAGAAAGCAGAGACATGGTTGCCGGAGCATGGAGGCCGGTGGGGCTGAAATCCACTAGGAAGGCACACGGGAAACCGAAGATCATGCAGATAGTCTACAAGGAGTTACTCCTGGTGGTTACTTGGGCATATACATTTGGCAAAACACATCGGACTGTACACTTAAAATGGGTGCATTTTATTGTAGGTAAACTATAACCTTAGCACACGATTTCAAAAAGTGCATACAGACCAGTTGGAGCTCTGCCATCACACAGAACCTCAGAAGAGAGAGGACAGAGAAAAAGAAGCCTTTCCCATCAAACAGCTGTGGGAGGGATTGATTGCCTGGGGAGGAAGGATCCAAGTGACCACTCAGGCAGTGAGGAAAGGAAGACCCAAGGGCTCCCAAATCCCCTGCAGCGGAGAGGAGTCAGAGGAACTCACTGCCAAGTGCCTCAGGTCACCTTTTCCTGTAGAATGGGCTCCTGGCCACGAGTAATATCATTTGTACCTGCATGAATAAGCTTGACCAGAAAACCTGCCGCTGCCCAGAACCTCGGTCTGTCCAAGAGGTTTTGCAGTGACCTGTGCTTGGGGGTGTCCAGAGCACTGACCTGAGGGCGTCTGAGAGGGGCATGCTGGAGTATGCTGGACTAAAGCCCACACCAGCGTGTCCTGTTCCAGAGGCTGTGTGGGCCACCGGAGTTAGGGGCTCCTCCCCAGCAGTGCTAAACATTGTCAAAGGGAGAGCCACATGGGGAAATGCCCAGCACCTGTTAGCTGGTTCATGGGTGCCCTCCTCTGTCCCATCCACTGAGAAACTCTGTGGTCCCCTTCATCCCCTCAAAATCCACTTAAAATCGTAGCACTAATTTACCAATAATCACAGTTGTACCAGTAGGTAGTGTCCTGTTAAGTGCTTTATATACATTGTCTCCTATCATCTTTCCCATAGCTCTAGGCAGGAAGAACTGTTATTTTTTTACTAGCCTCATTTTCTAGGTGAGTAAGACGGGGTTCAGAGGGCAAATTACTCACTCAAGTGTTTACATACAGTACCGTCATTACCCAAGTGCCAAAATCCAGTGCCAAGCATGTCCCAGCTCTGGGCACAAAGGCCAAAAGGGTGAAATGTCTCAATCCTTTCAGTTAAGCTCACGTTGGAGAGAAGGGGCAGGGACTGGGAGGACTGGGCCCTCGGGGTTTTTATTTGGAGGGTGAGGACCACTCTTCGATGGCCACTCACTCCTTAGGGCCACATCGTAGATCAGTGGTTCTCAACCTTGGCTGAACATTAGAATCACCTGGGAATCTTTTTTAAAATCCTGATTTCTGGGCCTCATCCTCCGGAAATTCTGTTTCTTTGTTACTAATGTTGTGGCCCCACCCCATAACAAAGAAACAGAATTTCCGGAGGATGAGGCCCAGAAATCAGGATTTTAAAAAGATTCCCAGGTGATTCTAATGTGCAGCCAAGGTTGAGAACCACTGCCTTAGATGAAGGTAAGAATGGATCTCCTCATGGCACAGTTTTCTATAATTTGGATGGAAGGAAAAAGTCAGTTCATTCTAGGCCATTTTAAAAGTAAAGAAATGAGGCTCAATGATGTGATTCAAGAAATATCCCAGAGCTGATCAAAGAGATACCCTAAATCCAGGTGTCCTGTGTTTATTTCCCTCTATTCTAGATCGTCTGATTCACTACATTATCTTCTGCAAGTAAATAGGAAACTGCTTTTCCAAACACCTCTAGGATAGTGTTTCTCCATTTGTGGGACAGGGACTCCTGCAATAGAACAGAAAGAGTCCAACAGCACAGCGCTCGCAGAGCCAAACACTAGGCACCGAGAACTGCAGGGGAGAAATACTGGCTATTTTATGATGAATGGTGCCACCCAGGAGAACAGGAAGCTTTTGAGCAAAAGCCCTGACACCCTGATGGTGTGTAGGTTACAGATTATACAGGGCAAAATCACAAGACACTATGGATTAGGGGGCTCATGATGAGAGCTCCTTGGTCGGAGGTGAGGTAAGGGCAGTGAGTCATTTCTTCAGGTCTTGCTCTGAGATTCTTGCTGGCATCCCTTGGTCTGGTCTCCTGGGAAAGTAGCCAGAGGGCCATTCCATCTTAAGGCTCAGGAGCTGAAACATAACTAAGGTCAAGATACCAGAGGTCCCCACACTGTGATCATTAGTCAGATTTGGGCTCCTGTCTTCTGCTACGTGGGGGGATTATCTGGGGGAAAGGCTCATTTCTGAGGGGTGTATCTATAAAGAGAGAGATAATTTCTATAATTAGGATTTAAAGTTAAATTTAATCAAAGTCATAAGGACCCTGGTTTCACTCCTGCAACAGTAAATCCAGGGAGTGTAAAAATGCAGATTCCCGACCCCAAGCCCCAGCCCACCCCCTGGTTGGATCAGGTCTCTAGGAGTAGGGCATGGAAACTGCAAGCCATCTCTAGTGCCTTTTCCAGTCTCTCAAACACAGTTTCAGAACCTGAGTAGAACAATATTCCCGGGCGAGAGTGAGCTCAGCGCTCAAACCTTAGTTTCATTTCTCCTCACCAGGAATCCTGACGGCATCGCATCAGTTTCAGTTTCCATTTCCTCTCCATAAAAGCACAGACCTAAGGGCCAGAGCCAGGGCTTGGAAACCTCATCGGCACTCGCTTTCGATCCACCAGCAGAACAGAACATCAGCCTGGACCCCAGCTTCTCAGAATCCCAGGGACACCGCCATCATGAGGTAACGATGCCTGCCTTCTCTGCTAGCAAGTGGAGAGCGTTTCTTACAAATCTTGTTCTGGCGGGCAACTCCCAGAATCCTCCTGATTCGGTGTGTGCTTATAGATTACAGATGCGTTGCTCTTAACTTGGTCATGAACCTCTCTGACCAATTCCTGCATTTTTATTTCTGTCGCTCTGTCTGTTTACTGAGTCCGGCAGCCTAAGGACACGGAGGGAGGTGCTCGCAGGAGCGCTGGCGGCTGCAGCAGGGCAAGGACTGGAGTTTCTGGAGAGAGCCCGAGGGCTAACCTGCTCCGCTCCTTCCAGGCAAAATCTGGGCAACGGGGAGGGACAGCGGAGGTCCTGGTCCCTCTTTTGTGTCTTAGATTTTGTCAGACTAAGCCAGCGGTTTGTGAGCTCTGTGGTGGTGGTGGTGGTGGTGATTTTTAAAGTATGCTTGCTTCTCAGCAAATGTGCTAATGACTAATTCAGAGCTGCAAAACTGCAATCTAGAATGAGGTCGCTTCTACCTTACCATTGTCTGTTTCAGAATTGAGGAATGTGTCTTCTTAGCGACCTGCCAGACGTCCCCTGTGAGCAGGGAGAGAGGCTTGTAGTTTCAAGCTGTGTTGCAGCTGGCGGGTATAATAAAGCAGAGTGCCCTGTTAGAATGCAAATTACTGGGCCCTGCATTCTGAAGTCCTAATCAGACTTAAAGCCTGGGAAGAGGGAGGGGGGACAGAATACATATCTAAAGAGGACCACAGGTACTTCCTAGACACACTCAATGCTCCCTGCCGAGTATGTGTGTAAATGGGAGTGGAGGAAGCCCAAAGTGGGTGGCCAGTGGGGGTGTGGGAAGGATGTTCCTATAAAGCAAGGCTTGCCTGTTTAAGGGCGCTTTTAGGGATGAGAAACTGGTGATTGGAAATCACTTCCAAAAAGTGGTTGGGCCCTTGCTACTCACCGTGTGGTCTGAATCCAGCACCCGCTGAGAGGACGTTATAAAGGCAGCATCCCGGACCTGCTGAGCTCAGCAGTGCATTTCAGCCAGGTCCTCGGGTGGTGTGGTCCATGTGCACGGGAAAGTGTGAGCAGCCCTGCTATGGACAGTTCCTTGGCTCACTTTTGGAAGAGATGGGCTCCTCGGGTTGTGCCTGTTCTGACCAAACAACTGGCCATGAGTTCTGCCTGTCCCTTCACAGCATCAGTCCCTGTACAAGCTGCCTCGGAGGTTTCTCTGGAAACTCCTCCTCTTACCATTTAATCAGGGCCTCTTCCAGGAACTTTCAAGATTCTAGTCTAGTAATGGCTTTCACCAGGCCCTGGAAGGAGGTGAGGCGTCTTCGCTGGGGTCTGTGGGCGGCGCCCCAAAGCTCACCAAGTGACACAAAAAGGTAGCCCTGTAGAAGGTCAATCCAGGTAGGGGTGCAGGAGAAGGAGGAAAGACTGTAAACGGGCTGGTTCTGGGTGTTTCCTTAGGAGTTGCAGTGCTGCTTTTATCTGCTTTGGTCAGCGAAACCTCAAGGCTGCCGTTGGAGGCCATGAGAAATCTCTTCCTGGACCAGAGGGACTCCCGCTCCCCAAAGTTTTCTACTAGATACATAGTCTCCAGGAAGGAAGGGCATTCAACTCCATGTTCCACCTGAACGGAGACATTCTCTTCCTAAAGTTACTGCGGCCATCATTCCACCTGCTTGCTTGTCCTCCCTTCAAATGTCTGATTTAATTATTGTTCAGTAACTTACTGAATTTTATACATATACATATAAAGAGTATTTAGAGCCACTTTCAAGCACACATGATAGAAATTAATAAGCGAGGAAAGCTTGGCAAATGGAGTATTGGTTTTTAGAAAGGCAATCGTATTTTAATTAAATCAGAATTATCTTCAAATGTTTTATTTGTATCTACTCAGTTAAATATGTTAATGTTATCCTAAATGTGAATTACATAAAAACATGTAAATATGTCAATGAACAAATAACAAATATCTAATGAAAATTTGAAGGTGAAAAGAGCAGAGCATTTCATGTACTTAAATTCACTCTCTCTGGGATCTGGGCTGTCGGGGAGACTGCTTCAATCAGACTGAAACCCAGCTTTCATGGGTCCTGTGTGATGGTGGAGAAGATGAAGAGAAAAGACTAAATCACACAGCATGGTGGCAAACATTCCCTGGGTTTTCATTCTTTTCATGGCTCCTTCTAACCTGACGGTGAGCTCCTAGGGGCAGAGACAGCCAGGATAACCTTTATTTTTCTTAGTATTCCCCAAAGCTCACCAAGTGACACAAAAAGGAGCCCTGGAGAAGGTCAATGGATGGCTAAATAAAACTCACTCCTCAGAATGTGTGAGGACTGAGCCCTGATTTAGTGACTGAGCAACACAAGAGAGATCCCAGTTCCTCTCACCATAGGTTTCTCGTCTCATCACCTCACCCCGCCTCCTGCATGTCTATTCACATGGTGGCAGGGATATGCTTTGTGGGTTTTTACACAGACCATAGCTACAGAAAGGTGAGTCCAGGAAGCAAGAGGAAAGTACCTACTCTTCTGTCTGGGAACACTTAGGGGTGTGTATAGTCAGAGTTCTCCAGAAAAACAGAACCCATGAGAGACACATAGATAAGCTGCAGGTTGATGTCAGGCCCAACCCCCAAAAGCTGGGAAGAGGAAGCAAGCATTTGCTAACGGTTGTTCCAGGCTCTTCCATGTTTTGCTGGCCAAGAAGTAAAGTATTTTGAGCACCACAATGGAGGAAATTCAGTCAGGCAACTGCAGAACCCAGACTTCACTGAAGGATTGTCTTTTTTCGGCTTGCACTTGAAGGTGAATGGAGGACGGAGAACTCTTGGCTGTTCTACCATCAGCTCTGCCTGGCACTGTGGTCATCAACTTTGCTTAGACCAAAAGCAGGCAGGTACAAGTGCTGGGCTCGCAGCGTTTGACCTCAAGTTATTTCTAAGTTATTTTGTACATTTTCAGCTGAGAAACCAAACTGGATCTTCATCTTTATGTGCATTTCTTGCAAGGGAAGAGGCTTTATACAATTGGATGTTTTGCTTTTCCTCTTTGAGAATTTTAAACCTCTTTTGTATTATTTCTACCTAATTTGTAAATATTCATTTTTTTAACCTGCCTTTTAAAATACTGCTCTGAATTTTTTTTAAAATAAAGATTCTCACCTATGCCGGTATACATACATACATATATATGTATACATATGTGTGTATACAGGGTTGGGCAAAAGTAGGTTGACAGTGAGTACGCAAAACACGGTTTATTCTTATATTATTCTTTATCAGTTATTGTATTATTTTCCATAGGAACAACTATCAACCTACTTTTGCCCCACCCTGTACATATATATGTAAATAAGCTAGAGAGGGGGAGAGAGAGAGATTTATTATGAGGAATTGGCTCACATGATTATGGAGGCTGAGACATCCTTGATTCACTGATTCACTGTCTACAAGCTGCAGACACAGAAAAGCCAGTGGTATAAGTCCCAGCCTGAGGGAATGTTCCAGCTCAACCAGAGAGAGCAAATTCACCCTTCCTCCGTCCCCCCCCTCCCCCCCAGGCCCACAATAGATTGGATATTGTGGAGGGCAATCCACTGTACTAAGTCCACTGGCACAAATCCTAGGCTCTTCTGGGAACACAGATACGCCCAGAACTGATGTTTAACTAAAAGTCTGGGCATCCCATGGCCCAGTCAAGTTGACCCACACAATTAACCTGTGATTGCACCCACGGTGCGGTGCTTGGCAGGTACACCTCAGAGTGACCATGTTTATTTTCTCCACAGTGAGGTCAACAAGAACTCTCTGGAGAAAATCCTTCCACAGCTGAAATGCCATTTCACGTGGAAATTACTTAAGGAAGAAAGTGTCTCCCATGATCTAGAAGATAGAGTGTGTAACCAGATTGAATTTTTAAACACTGAGTTCAAAGCTACAATGTACAACTTGTTGGCCTACATAAAACACCTAGATGGTCAGAACGAGGAGGCACTGGAATGCTTGCGGCAAGCTGAAGAGTTAATCCAGCAGCAGCACCCTGACCAAGCAGAAATCCGAAGCCTGGTCACCTGGGGCAACTACGCCTGGGTCTACTATCACATGGACAGACTCTCAGAAGCTCAAGTCTACGTAGACAAGGTGAAACAAGTGTGTGAGAAGTTTTCAAATCCTTACAGCATTGAGTGTCCTGAGCTTGACTCTGAGGAAGGGTGGACCCTGCTACAGTGCGGAGCAAAGCAAAATGAAAGGGTGAAGGCGTATTTTGAGAAAGCTCTAGAAGAGAAACCCAACAACCCAGAATTCTTCACGGGGCTGGCAATCGCCATGTACCGTCTGGATGATAAACCACCGAAGCAGTTCTGTGTCAGTGTTCTGAAGCAGGCCGTTGAGCTCAACCCCGACAATCAGTACATCAAAGTTCTCTTGGGCCTGAAATTGCAAAAGATAAATAAAGAAGCTGAAGGGGTGCTGTTGATAGAAGAGGCCTTGGAGAAAGCTCCTGGCCAAACAGATGTCCTCCGCAGTGCAGCCAAATTTTACCAAAGAAAAGGTGATCTAGACAAAGCAATTGAACTGTTTCAAAAGGTGTTGGAATCCTTGCCCAACAATGCCTACATCTATCGCCAGATCGCATGCTGCTATCGGGCAAAAGAGAAACAAATGCAGAGCACAGAGGACTCTGAAGCTGGTGGGAATAGAGAGAAGATGGAAGAACTACAGAAATCCGCTATGGACTATTCGAATAAAGCTATTGAGAAGGGACTGAATCCTCTGTATGTATATTCTGATCTCACTGAGCTGGAATCAGAAGAATGTTATCAGACAGCTTTCAATAAGGCGGAGAGAAAACAACTGCATCAGGGCTATTCCAACTTTCAGGAGCAAAATGGGAAGTCTGAAGACACTCCTGTCCAGCATCATTTAAGCACAAAATCTACTGCGAACGGAGCTGAAAGGCAGCTTCCACGGAATTCTTGGTATCTCCAAGGATTAACTCACAAGCTGAATGGAGATCTGCTGCAAGCAGCTGAATGTTTTGAGAAGGAACTGGGCCACCTCCTGAGGAACAGCCCTTCCGGCATAAGCAGTTTTTTCCTGCCAGCAGAGGAGCTTGAAGAAGGCAGAGAGGAAGTGGGCCAGGGCGCAGGCAGCTCCACTCTCAGCAAGCTCTCTGATCCCTCAGCTGACACAGAGGAGTGAAAGGAACAGAGAGGGGGAAGCCTGGAATGGTGGTTGTGAGGGGGAGAAGGGTGGAAAGGCAGGAGTTCCCTAATCTGAGCTTGATGAGTGAGGTGGTCTTGTTTATGGCTTCCCAGTACATTGTTAGTTGTTTTCTAATGTCTGTCTCCCTTGTTCCACACCAGCCACACTCAATTGTCTTGTAACATATGACACCCAGGAACAGCGCTTCAGCCCTGGGAGATGTGATTATCTCAGTTTGCACTCAGTTCACCAGAAATCCCCCGTTTCTGCCCTGCTTGCCAAGGGTCATAGCTGGTAGACTGCCTACCAACAGAATCTCACCTCCTCACCCCATTACTGTTTAACCTTCTGGGCTTCCTAGAAGACTAGCTTTTGACTAACCCTGCAATATACCTTCCATGCTGTGCTTGACCTCAGCCATGTATATATATATATGTATTTTTGATAGTGTTACTATAGTAAATACTAGTATGTATTGTTGCTAGTAATGCTACAATAAATGTCAAAATTTCTACTCAGGATAGAACTGTGTGGTTTGCATGTGTGACTACGAGTAATATTAATTCTCCAAGTTTCTCTTGTTAGGGATGTGGGTACTTACTACGGCTGTGCCACCCTATTCTCAACATGTCCATTTTAGCTCCTCCTTGGAACTAACACTCACCCCGTAGCCAGCCCATCCTAGGGCTGTGGGAACTATGACTCTCACTGCAGCCCAGGAGCCAAACCCGAGCCCAGTGCCCAGTTAGCAGTTGCTGCTGTAGACCAGGGTTGCTGTGCACACACGAATACCTTGGCAATTGCTTCCCTGCTAAATACCATTTCAGTCTCCCCCACCCCCGCCCCTAACCCCGCCCCCACCACACACACACACACACACACACACACACACACACACACACACACTCACCATGGTTATGGAGAAACACTGACTCCAATTTGAGATAATAAACAGAAGAGTTTTGATGTCCCTGCTCCTTTCCCCCTGCTAAAGTATGTGGAAACTTACCTGCAACTGGGATCTACCAGGAGATAGATTCTTATCCCAGGTATGCCTAAGTATTGATGCTGTGTCCCTAGCCCATGTTCCCATGGGTTGGGAACCTAAGGGCATGCCACTTGTGAAAGGAGAGTCTTACAAGGGGAATCCTCACAAGAAATTGGGTAGGTTAGAGAGAGAGCCACACTTAGCCAGTCTTTGCCTGTCTTTTCTTTGCTCCACAAGGTGGAGAGAGCATTTACCAATCACTGCAGCATTGTTTCTTCCAGTGAGAAGACTGAGAAGTCAGCAACAGAAATCCCCAAGACAGTTCCTGGGTCTGGTGGTTTTCACTAGAAGGATTCATAGACCTCAACATAGAGTCATATTCACGGCTAAGATTTATGACAACAAAAAGATACGGAGCAAAATCAGCACAGGGAAAAGGTGCATGGGTCTAAGAATAATGAAAATGAGGCACACGCTTCCCAAAGTCTCTCCCAGTAGGATCATACAGCACCTGCTTGATTCCTCCAACAGCAAATTGTGACAACTCTTGTGAGCTCGTTAAAGACTCCATGGCCAATGGTTTCATTGGAGACTAGTTACATAAGGACCCTGTGCTTAGCACATAACAAAATCCCAGACGCCCAGAAGGAAAGCAGATGTCAGTGTTAACCACATCATTTGCACAAACAAGAACCATGCTTCTCGGTTAGGGAATGGTGAGAACACTCCAAAAATCCAAGTTCCCAGATGCCAGCTAAGGGCCGACCTTGCAAGCAGACTTTTCTAAGGTCATGGTCTCTGGCCTAATGCTTATCTGCATCGTCCATCCCCTTGGTCCTTAGCCAAGGTGTCTTTGCCGTCCAAGTGTTATCAGTAGCATCCCACACGACAGGGTGAGCCCTTACAGTATTGGCCTCAGTTATGCCCTTTAGGGATCCTTAATTCAGCGGTTCTCAACCTGTGGGTCGCGACCCCTTTCACAGGGGTTGCCTAAGACCATCGGAACACACATATATAATTACATATTGTTTTTGTGATTAATCACTATGCTTTAATTATGTTCAATTTGTAACAATGAGATGGGGGGTCACCACAACATGAGGAACTGTATTAAAGGGTCGCGGCATTAGGAAGGTTGAGAACCACTGCTTTAATTAATAAAGTCTGTTTTTTGTCAGGTCACTTCTTTCTTGAGTTTCTTTTCTATCCCTTTTACCTGGTGGCACAGCACAATCCTGACCAATAGACTGACCTGGCTGCCTTCCATGCTCATCAGAAACACACCTAAGAAGTACAATCTCAGAAGATACAGGTGGTGCCCCTGGAAACAGAATGACAATTGTTTAGTTATCCCAAGCAGGGCATACCTCCGTCAGGCGGTACAGGTTAATAAGCCCCCAGGTGTGGCCTTCCACTGTAGGGCTGCCTGTCCTGGGGTTTCAGTCTAGCCTAAAAAAATCAGTTGAGTCCTTGGTTTTAGAGGAACTGCCTGACAGTTCCAAACATTTGCTCATCCCTGATACCAGTTCATTTGCCTCAGGAGTAAAGATGACATCTAAGGTTTTCTGGGTGGGATGTTCAGGAGCTGGCCCCCAGCCAGCCACCCCATTGCTGTCCCCCGTGTTCATTGGCTCAGCAGTCTGAATTCAAGCACTAGCATAAGTTGGAAAGGTCAGATTTTCTTCGGAAAGAAAGGAAAGCTTCCCAGAATGATTCTGAAAAACAAAGATCATTAATGCCCCTCCCTTCCCCTCCCTTCCCTAAATGCTGAGTTTTTATTTTTCTTCATTGTTACAAATCAAAGCGCCTCATTCAACACTCATAACTTTTTTTCAATTTTCCCCACTCTCTTTCACCCAGACCTTTCAACTTTGACAGACTATTTGCAAGAGAGACAAAACTGTTTTCACAGGAAAACATTTTATACAACTTAACCAGAAAGAGGCATTGTATTTACAAACGAGTCAAAGTCCTGAATTTAAAAAAAAAAATTCAAAATGGGTTTCCATCACTCCTCACCCCTCCATCCTGATCATGTATGTGGTGAGCCTAAAGAAGTGATTGTTTTCTGGGGTCACTTGCATTTAACAATCAGACTATGCACCTTACGAAGGTATGCATACTAGGACAAAGGTGAGGGCCATGGAGTCGGGCTAGCAATCCATTCTCCCAGACCTCACCTATTTGGAAAAGTTGAAAAGAGCAAGTCAACAACATTGAGAGAGCCTGGAGAGGGGTCAAGAGTTCAATCTGTCAGGAGTGGGAGGAGAGGGTCACGCTCCCTGTCATGTGTCCTCTCCCAACTTGGAGCCTTCAGCAAGAATCACTGGTCAGCAGCGTAACTAGCCTCTGTATCCTGAGGCCCATTTGGAAAAAGCAGGCACAGGATGAGCTCCCTGCCCGCCCCCTCAGCCTGAAAGCAGAAGACAAATTCTCCATGTAAACATCCCCCACTTTCTCCACCCCCT